GACTTAAGCTTATCATAAGTGACCTACATCTTAGTAACCTATTTTGATATTATGCCTTACCACCGTCAAGTGCCTTTGTAACTGAAGCCCCTATCTTTGAATTCGATGTGCACGCGCGGATCTCCCTCTCCGCGTAGTTATTGTACCGAGTGTCCAAGGGATTTGAAGAAGCAAATATAAAAGATTGTCCTCGTTAATTTAATTTTTAAGAAATCATTGGGCCCTTCGATGGATTAGGTTTATAAGTGGTTGGCGACCCAAATCCACTGATAGGGGTGGGCAACGGGACGGGACGGAATACCCGTCTCGTTTTAAACGGGTACCCAGTCTCATTTGGAGACCAAAGTCCATCCCATATCCCAAACCCATATGGGAAACGGGGGCCCATTACCCGTACGGAACGGATAACGGGTACTCATACTACCCATAAATACCCAAAGTTTAAATGACATTTTACCTAAAGACAATTAGTCAATTACATCCAAAGCATTCATTTCAAAACACAAAATAGCTGCACAAGTAGCAACTTACACCAATTTCCTACAACCCAAAGAAGGGATGATGAAGAAGATGAAAAGGAATCAAGGAAGGGGAAAGGACCAAATAATAAAACCCAGAAAGAGAACAAGTTCTGCTTCCTGGAAAGTGCCATGATTCAGTAATAATAATAATAATAATAATAATAATAATAATAATGTTGTTTCTACTCAAATCAATCCTCAGTTTGGCAAAATAATAATAATGTTGTCTTCTCTCTCGTCCCGCGAAGACGACTCCTCCAGCCAGGGACAAGACACAAGACAGAGACAGACCTTTCCAAATTCCAGAGAAGCTGCCGCCTGCCGTCGCGTGTCTCGCGTCTTCTAGGGCCTAGGGGTGCGTCAGCGTCTCAACTCTCACTGGCTGAATTAAATGAATTTTGTAATTTTAATGGATTTTGAATTGGGTTGGGCCTGGGCGCATGGGCTGAATTATATGTCTTTGTAATTTGAATGGGTACAACGGGTACCCATATTACCCAAACGGGTATTCGCGGGTAACCTGCGGGTACCCATATTAGGACTGTACAATCCCAAGTCCCATCCGTTTAAAATATTACGGGTAATATGGCCATATGGGTACCCGTAACCCTTAAAACGGGACGGGTACGGGTATACCCAAATACCCGTTTCCCGTTGCCCACCCCTATCAACTGAACTGATTCATTTAAGCTTGAACTAATTAGGCACACATGGGATCGATTTAAAGGTGAATATATAATAAGCATGCCAAATTCATGGCTTGAATCTCGTAGTAAAATCTTGGATAAAAAATTTTCATATTTTACAATATGTTCACAAAAGAGGATGGTCGAGTTCTTTCTTGCTTGTTGACTTGGGTGGCATGGATTTGTTACTAGGCACCACTTAATTTATGACCTTAGGATCATTGTTGACGAAACAATGGACCAATGGGTCGTACATTATGGATACGAATGAGAAGGTTGTAGAGGTGATATAAGGTTAACTCATTTTGACTTAATTAACACCACTGATTCTGCGAGGTTCACCTTATGACCACTGAGAGATCCATAACCCGAAGCAATTATAACAAATTTATGTATTTTGGAAGAGAAGTACGCAAGAAAAGATAGGAGTCATTGACGGAGAATAAATGAGATATGACGGAAGAGTTATGACCCATACGCAGACCATAAAAAGACCAGCCCGAAGTTTTGTTGCAACAAAGCAGATAACCTCTCTGCGAACAAGAGAGGAAAAAGTGGATCTCCATGCCGAATCTCCCTAGTGGGACGAAAATAACCAGCCATTCACTCATCCATCATCACAATTCAGTCGAGATTGTGACACATTTGCAGATCCAATTAGCCACACAGACCAGAGAAGCCCAATTGTTGCATCAAAACGAAAAGGAACGACCATACCCAACGCTCAAAGCCTAATTAAGAAGTCCAATTATATACCTATAGAAAAGATCGCGACAAGAACCCAAAGACCGAAACTGATAGCGAGGCACAATAATGAACCCATCAGCTTAGGAAAGCTCAATAGAGCGAATCTGGTGATCAAGGGCTGTTTAGTCACTTGACTAAGCCCCTCCCCATTATTAGATCTGAACACACCAATCTGACGGTTAAAAAGTGGGAAAGACTTTTTAATTAATGACAGGGGTAGTTTGGGTATTATGAAAAATTACGAAGTATACAAACCGGACTTAGAAACAGTACAAACCATACAAACATACTAACAATACAAACTAGAGCGATAAAACATACAAACAGATTTACAAACAATACGAAACATACTAACTATACAAACAATACAAACTAGACAAACAAACATCACAAAACATACTAACAATACTAAATGCCACTACCTACAATACAAAACATTAAACTTGTATTACAAATCTATGAATACAAAGCATACAAATCACAACATAAAGTATACAAGTAAGACAAACAAACATTACAAATTACAATGTATACAAATTAGTCATATAAACATTACAAACATAATAGATAAAAATGACAAAGTAGAATGATAAACGATACAAACTGAATTGATATGAAATTATAAAACATACTTACAAACATTACAAAATCGCCCCGACAAATATAACAAAACAGACGATGTCACCGAAAAATCTGCCATCGCCGAAAAATCCGCTGATGACGAAACTCTCTCTCTCTCTCCCTCAAAAATTCCCAGTCGCTAAGTTGGGGAAAATTCCCCTAGTATATTCCCAATCCCGGCCGTCAAGTTGGGGAAAATTCCCCCGGACCGGAGCTGGGCAAAGACAGGGAGGAACGCCAAAAAATTCCTAGTCGGCAGCGACGATGTGGGCAAAATTCCCAGTAAATAGACGGCGGGGGAGGAATACGTAGCAGCATTTTTTTTATTTCAATTTCCAAATAAATAAATTATATAATTACTAGAATGCCCTTCATTAAATTTGATTAATTGGAGCCATTGGATTTTAATAAGATGCAAGGGTTGAGATTCACTTAGTCATGTGACTAAGAACCCCCCTTAGTCACCTAATCTTAGCCCAAAGCTCAAAACCCCACGGTAACTCTGGCAAAGTGGGACTCCATACACATCTTCCTATAAAAATTATCAAAATACAATTTTTTTTAAAAAAAAATCCCAAACTTCATATGTTTTGGGACAAATTGCTTCACACAAAAGCGATCTATGACAAATTGCTTAAGACTTAGTAATCTTTGATAGGTCGCAGATCGCTTGAGATCTTAGTGATCATTGACAGATCGCTTCCGACCTCAGCGATCAATACAAATCGCTTGAGACCTCAACGATCAATATGTTATATATGAAAAAATCAAACTATAATTATTTTGTGCTCGGTTATTAGATCAACGCAAAAATTTTATTACTATTATTTTGCATAAGTTTTCTAGATTTTCACAACTGAAAAGGATAAATTTCAAGTTAGGTCACTGGAGGGTTGTTAAATTAGGGTTGGCTATTTTATGACGTGACAGGTTTTAGTGACCTAGATGGTCTTCTTTTTAGTTTTTAGAGTTAAAATTGGGTGACTGGATATTTTTGTTAGTCACATCATCATAAAACTAACGTTGCTGACGAGACTAACAGAAGTTAATGAAGAGTGATCAAACTCAAAATATTTAACTAATCTCAGGGATCACAAATGAAACAAATATTTTTAGTGATCAAAAGTGTTTTTTTTTTGTGATCCCAGGGACCAAACTTGAAATTTATTCTTTTCAGTTGTGAAAATTTCGAAAAGTTATGAAAAATAATAATAATAAATTACGTTGATAAGATAACCGACCACAAAGTTACTGTCGTTTGATTTTTTCGTATATAACATACTGATCGCCGTGGTCGCAAACGATCAGTGAAGCGGGCTCAACCTAGAACAAAAGCACTTTCCTCACAAAACAACACGAAAGGGCCACAAGGGGCGGCGAACTTAGAACTTCACATGTCAAGATCGAGCGCCCAATGAGAATTCACCAATCGGGCTATGTGTAGGGATGACAACAAAACTTGAACCATGGATATCCTAGCCAACCCAACCCGGTCAACGCGCGTAAAACCCGTGTTGACGGGTTTCAGGCCGGGTTTGGATTTTAACCCGTTAACTATTCACCGAGTTGGGTTAGGTTTGGGTTTAGAAATACCCGACCCATGGATACCGCCCACACTTATTCCGTCGCCCTACTCTCCCCAAACTGACAAAGTATTGTTCCCTTTTCCCAAAAGAAGTGTAAGATAAATTAATTATTGAAGTTGAACACACCATGTATGTTAGTTTGTTGCTCTCTCACAAATAAGAAGAGAATGAGCGAAAAACAAGGAAATGTGTGCTTTTATTTTGTGTAATTGTGATTTGTTTGAATTTTCTAGACTGGTGTTTTATATATGGATAATTTGTATGGGAAAATTGATGTTTGACATTTATTTTTATAGGAACTGTTATTGTAAATTTTTTACCACAAAAATCCATGGGTACCCATGAACCCGCGGATACCCAACAGATTGAGTTGGGTTTGAATTTTCCAAACCTAATGAATTTTACCCCGGATTTTTTTTTACGAATAAACCCATGAATTTGAGTTTGGCCTCACAAAACATGTGTAATTTCATAATTTGTCTTTTGAGATTTTTTATATCGAAAAAATCGGCAAAGTGAAAAGCTGTTGTTCATCGACTCGGTAGTTCGTACGGTATTGGGAGAAATGAATTGACCCGAAACGGAAGCCGCTAGAAACGAACCAGAATTGTGAAAAGAAAAGGCTAAATATAGAAAACAAAGGGGGAAAACAGGAAAAAAAGAAAAAGAAAAAAAGAGGCGCTTGGGCGGCTGGCTGCGTGGATTTGTCAAGCTCTTTTCTGATCTCTTCACTCCTTTAGTCCTTCCTCCACGCGTATCCCCCGCGTCCTCGATCTGAAGAAAGATTTTTCCTGTTTCCACCGCTTCCGGAGCTTTGAGCAACCAACAGCGAGCACGAAATGGCGAAATCCAGCGCGGACGACGCGGAGCTCCGGCGTGCTTGCGAGGCAGCAATTGAAGGCACGAAGCAGAAGGTCGTGATGTCGATCCGAGTTGCCAAGAGCCGAGGTGTCTGGGGCAAATCGGGCAAATTGGGCCGACAGATGGCCAAACCTAGGGTTCTTGCTGTCTCCAGTACGTTCTAATCCCTCATTTCCATTGCCGAACTTCCAATCATTCGTCTTCATGCTTAGTCTGTGTGTCGAAGTCATGGTTGCCTCTAGAGTGGAATTGGTTAGGGATGTTTCTAGTCAAACATTGGAGAATCATGATCTATTTGAGGAGCTTGAAGTCCATTAAGTTGACTGAATTAGCAACTAGAAACAAAGCTGATAATGAGTGTTTCAATCTTGATTAGTTGAATTTCACTAGACAGCCCTTGTGCTATGTAGCATTTTGGTATCGAGGAAGAATAAGGGCGATCTCTTTCTGCTCTCTTCTTTTTGTTCAGTCGGACCTATGTCTTCAGACACTTCAAGTTAAAGTCATCTGATTGTAGCTTCAAACCGGTGATCGCTTCAGTTTATATTTATCTGTAATCGTCTAGTACAAGCATGAACCAATGGCAGAGCTCTTTTGCGTTAGCTCCTTGGCTCTTCAGTTCATCCCAGTTCAATTGCTTCTGCAGAATGTACTGTTCCCTGACTCCTGATACGAGAGACTATGGTTTTCATTTGTTTTTCTTTTCTGTAGTGGAATGAGATGCTATGTTTAGTGCCAGCAGTTTCACCTACTTTAGCAGCTTCTTTAATGACGGCTTTTCCCCCTATTTCAGCAAAACAAAAGGCTGGACGAACGAAAGCATTTCTTAGAGTTATGAAATATTCCACTGGAGGAGTCCTAGAGGTATGTTTTTCACTTGATCTGGCATCTAAGAACTGGAATTAAGATTGATGAGAACGAGTAATTGTACGTGGCCCTTCCAACAAGGCCACAGGCAACTGGATAACCTGTGTACTTTTTTACTCATTGCAATTTCTGTTCTGGTCTTTTTTTTTAGACAATGCTATAAACCTTAGAATTGAACCATTTTTACTTCCCGGAAGTGTTGACTTTGGTGTTCTGATAAATTAATAGAATCTCAGAGTTTGTATCTGTTATAATACTGAAACGAGGCATTGCTTCGTGGTCAATGACCAAAACGAGGCTCTTTCCTGGTTTCATCTTCCATCCTAGTGGTACTTGAAAAATGACATTTCACTTAGGAGCGGTGAACTTACAATTTTATGTTTTCTCACTTTTACAAGGAGAGAGCGGTTGGGGATTAGATAGCAACCCAGCATAAAAAACCACTTCCCTACAGCAAAGATACTCATAAACTGCTTCAAGAGCTGCACGTGTCATTTCGTGCTTGCGAAATTTATGTGCTTTACATATCTATTTCTTGCCTTATTGCAGCCAGCAAAGTTGTATAAACTCAAGCATCTTTCAAAGGTGGAGGTTATAGCCAACGATCCTAGTGGATGCACATTTACCCTGGTAACTTACATCTTTTATCCTCACTTTGCTCTATCTATAGGCTTTCAGATCAATGTTTTGGATTGATAACAAGCTGGTTTGCTATAGAAAAAGTTGAATTACATTTTTTCAACTTTTGCTTATTTGAAGTTTGATTATATCCTTCCTTGACGAGAACATCTAAGTAATTTTGTTTTCCTTCCAGGGATTTGATAATCTTAGGAGCCAGAGTGTAGCTCCACCTCAATGGACTATGCGCAACGTTGATGACAGGTGGTCCTTGTTAGCAAGAAACCTACTCAGTCCTCTTCTTAAGAACAATAAGGTTCTAAGAGATGCCATCTAACTGAAGTAACTTATCCGTTATTTTCGTTTGAATTCTTTATCGCAGGAACCATCTATTGTTTTGTATCTTAAATATCTCGAAAGATGTTCTTGGGCGACTTCCGAAAGTTGTTGGCATAGATGTTGTGGAAATGGCTCTTTGGGCTAAGGTGTGCTTTTTAATTCTCTGCCTTCCTGTCATCCTTTATGATTTGGGATTCTTTTCTTTTTTCAGTCCATTGAATCGGAAGAGCACTTTTGATGCAGGAAAATACAGGTACCGTCTCAAAGCAAAGGGTTCAACATGATGGTCATGGCAGCCCTGTTGCTGTCAATGTGGACGACGGTGAATTGAACGTTACTGTTGAGAGAGAACTTGTTTCCCAAGCAGAGGAAGAAGACATGGAAGCTCTTCTTGACACGTAAGTACTTCATCCTTCATTTTACTGAAAATCCAATTTTAGATTTTTTCTTGGAAAATGACAATTGGGACAACCAACCAACATAATCTCTAACCTTGAACTAGCAAGCATTAGGCGCAACCAACCAGTCTAGGATGACTGAGAATGTTTATTTAATTTACTTACTACATCTATGTGATTGTTAGAGGATGTTATATGAGTTGGCTATAATCCACCCTATCCTGTTTATACCTCTGCAGTGGTGTAATTCTTTCTTGTTCTTCCAGTCAGGCATTCTTCTTGTGTGGTGTAACTGCATACCTGTGCAGTTGCGTTCCAGTCTAGTTGTCCTTCCTGATTTTCAAGTATACTTTGTAAAGGTGGTCCTTGTAACATATGGTGTAATGCAGTTATGTAATGGGTATTGGGGAAGCTGAGGCTTTTTCTGAAAGGTTGAAGCGTGAGCTTCTTGCCCTGGAAGCAGCAAATGTCCATGCCATCGTGGAGAGTGAACCTTTGATAGATCAGGTATGTTCCTTGTTGACACCGTATAGTTGGATCCGGGTTGCCATGTGGGACATTCTAAACACTGATTTATTTGTTTGTTTTTGGCTCACTATTCTGTACTTATTAATCACTGCTGTTATTCTGGTGTAGTGACGGTGTGAAGCTTCTGAATTGACTTATGATCTGTGGGTATTTCAGGTGTTGCAAGGGCTTGAGGAGGCAACAATCTGTGTTGATGATATGGATGAATGGTTAAGCATCTTCAATGTAAAACTTAGACACATGCGAGAAGATATTGAATCAGTAAGCTTTCTCCACGCATTTTCTTAGAGTGTTTTGTTTGGTGTTCCTGCTCTAGTTTCTTGTTATACAGTGCTTTGTCTGCTGTTTTGTAAATATCCTGACCCTGATGGCATCATATTTCTCTGTCCCTTATGTTTTAATGTATTTCTAGAACATATTGAAGGTTCAAACTGTTCTACAGCTAACCCTGTCCCCCTCCCTCCCTCCTCTTTTTGCTTGTTTGTGCAAGGCTTTCTAGGCTTGATTTAGAAAAAAGCTATTATAGGGTATTGGTTTGACTTCCTAAGTTAAGACTTTCATGTGTCTCGGAGACTGATGTTTTGTGCTTGGTATACTTGAATCAAGTAGCTTATCTCATATTCTGATGTTCTTCCCATGCTGTTCAGATAGAAACTCGCAACAACAAGTTGGAGATGCAGTCTGTAAATAATCAGGCGCTGATTGAAGAACTTGATAAGCTCGTTGAACGGCTGCGTGTCCCTTCTGACGTATGTTTGTTCCATGATGTTCATATGCCATGTTCTCATTATTTCAGCACATTGTTCCCCTTAAAAGGATTCTTTGGCTTTAGTATGCAGTGTGTCTAACAGGAGGTACATTTGATGAAGCACGCATGCTTCAAAATATTGAAGCATGTGAGTGGTTGACTCGTGCTCTGCATGGTTTGGAAGTACCTAATATCGATCCAAGCTATGCAAACATGCGTTCTGTATGCTCTCTTTCTTTCTCTCTCTTTCTTGCTTTTTGTTTTTGTTTCTGTTGCTATGTCATGTCATTGGCACTTTGCAAGAGCTGGAATGCGCAGCTATGCTGGGTATTTTATTTCCTGTAAAGTGCTGTTCTTGGTTGCCTGTGCATTTTATAATTAAGACTAAACGTTGGAGTTGTGTAACAAGATGGACTTTTTACGAACACTCTTGCTGTTTTTAGGTCCGAGAGAAGCGAGCTGAACTTGAAAAACTTAAAGCTACATTTGTCAGGAGGGCCTCTGAGTTTCTTAGGAACTACTTTGCAAGTTTGGTTGATTTCATGATAAGTGACAAGAGTTACTTCTCTCAGGTATTATATGCTGTGCTTTTATATTGGTTTATTTATATTAGAGTTTGTGACATAATCCCATAGTTGTCTCTTTTGTGTATGGATGAAACAGCGGGGACAGCTGAAAAGGCCAGATCATGCTGATTTGAGGTACAAATGCAGGACATATGCTCGTCTGCTTCAGCATTTGAAGGTTGGCTATCTATTTTCCAATTTTTCGCGATTCTTCGTCTTCTAGTGTATAATTTTCTTCATTTAATGAGCCTATCCTATTTTTCAGAGTCTTGATAAGAATTGCTTGGTTCCATTGAGGAAAGCATACTGTGGCTCTCTAAACTTGCTTCTTCGTCGGGAGGTCTGGATTTATTGCACTTTAGTTAGCCTATATTGTTCTTTTTCTTACTATCTATACGATAATAGTGCTAGCTCCCAACTTATATTTCCTTGTCTTTTCTTCTGTATAAATAGCTCAGAAAAATGTAATAATCATTTGTTTCTTCAATATCTTAACTTAATCTATTTACAGGCCCGTGAATTTGCTAACGAGCTTCGTGCCAGTACCAAGGCATCAAGAAATCCTACTGTGTGGCTTGAATCAACCACTGGCTCAAACCAAAATGCACAGACTGATACGTCTGCAGTTTCTGAGGCGTATGCTAAAATGCTCACTATTTTTATCCCACTCCTTGTGGATGAGGTTATGATCTTGTAAAATTCACATTGGTATAGGTAGGCTGTCTTTTCCGTTATTACTAAGAGTTGGTTGCATGATTCATTTTGCAGAGTTCTTTTTTCGCTCACTTCATGTGCTTTGAGGTCCCTGCACTCGTCCCCCCAGGAGGTGCTGTTAATGGAAATAAAGGCGGAAGCTATGATAATGATGCTGATGATGACGATTTGGGCATTATGGACATTGATGACAATGACAGCAACGCTGGTATCTCGTCAATATCTTTTCTCAAGCCATTGCTGTTTTATGTGTACATTTATCTTTTCTTGAACTCTTCTGATCAGATGAATCACTTGATTTTCGTAGTTAAAAGTGCTGCAGATCTGACAGCACTGAATGAATCTCTTCAGGATTTACTTGATGGAATCCAAGTAATGAAAATGCTGTTAGCTCTATCATTCCCTTGGACCATCATAGTGCCTTGGTATTCTTACTAAATATATTTTGTATGAACTTTTAGGAGGACTTTTATGCTGTTGTGGATTGGGCCTACAAGATTGATCCACTACGCTGTATATCAATGCATGGGATTACAGAACGATATCTTTCTGGTCAGAAAGCTGATGCAGCAGGTTTTGTGCGTCTGTTGCTTGGTGATCTGGAATCAAGAGTTTCCATGCAGTTCAGTCGTGTATGTTTTTTTTTCTCTCCACGTGCCTCACCAACCACTGGTGTTCCTATATCTCATTGTTCTAGAATGGTTAACTTGTGAGTTTTTTGTTGCAGTTTGTCGATGAAGCTTGCCACCAGATTGAAAGAAATGAGCGTAACGTGCGGCAGATGGGGGTCTTATCGTACATCCCAAGGTTATTCATTTCTGTTGAGCTTGATGTTATTTATTTTTTGTTATACCCCTCTATATCTTTATTAGCATAGGAGGGCAAGTTAATTTATCTGATTGTCTGTATTTCACCTTGGCTTGGACAATTGTACTGTGCATGAGATTGATGTGTCCTTTGTCTGTGTAGATTTGCTACTCTGGCTACTCGAATGGAGCAATACATTCAGGGACAATCTAGAGATTTAGTTGATCAGGCGTACACAAAATTTGTATGCTTTTCTTAGCGGACACTCTTCATCTTCTCATTGTCGTGTTCATACTTCTGATTTAACTACTGATGCACTTTTTCTGGCATTGTTGGATAGGTGAGCATAATGTTTGCGACATTGGAGAAGATTGCTCAAACGGATCCAAAATATTCTGACATATTCCTTTTGGAGAACTATGCAGCGTTTCAAAACAGGTGGGGACTTTCCTCTGAATGGTTCCCGCACAGAATTTGTTTTAAATGACGAGTAGCACATTTCTCGTATGTTATTTATTTATGCTGATTAGAAGCAGTTGCATGCAGCTTATATGACCTAGCCAATGTAGTCCCAACGTTAGCCAAATTTTATCACCAGGCAAGTGAAGCTTATGAGCAAGCTTGTACTCGTCACATCAGCATGATTATCTATTATGTAAGTTATATCGCTGCACTTTCTTCAACTGTGTTTCGTACTTATCCTGCATGCATTTGTTATAACCTTAAAACTGATTTTCGTTTTTTGTGAGCTGTGACATACTTGTTGGACTTGTTATCTGCAGCAATTTGAACGGCTCTTCCAGTTTGCTCGAAAGATTGAGGATCTTATGTACACCATAACAGCGGAGGAGGTTAGTTTTTAAATGCAGATGAACGCATGCTTTTGAGAATACAAATTGGCTAAAACTTCCCTTTTATTTTTCCCATTCCACAGATTCCTTTCCAGATGGGACTGTCGAAAATGGAACTGCGGAAGACAATAAAATATAGTCTATCTGGAGTAAGTATGTCGGTTGAATGCCCTCTCAGTCTCATAGTTGTTCTTTGCGAAGCAGAAATCATAGTTGTTCTTTTGCTTCCTTGGATGACAGGTTGACAAGTCTATCAGTGCAATGTACAAAAAGTTGCAGAAGAACTTAACCTCGGAAGAGCTATTGCCGTCTTTGTGGGACAAATGCAAGGTATAAAAATTCCTGCTAAATTTTTTCAACTTAATCCAGTGCCTTAATTACTCTGCTACTTCCACAGCCGTCTTCATGTTACTTCTGAGAACAAATCGACTGTTCATGCAAACTTTCGTCATTTGAACTTGATCTCATTCATTCTTCAACAATAAATTGTCAATCCAATGTACACTTTCAATCATATTTGAACTCATTCTGTTGCTTGGCTGCTGGTTTTTCAAACTTCTGCAGAAGGAGTTCCTAGACAAGTACGAGGGTTTCGTACAATTGGTTGCCAAGATATACCCTAACGAGAACATCCCGTCGGTAGCTGAAATGAGAGAACTTCTGGCTTCCATGTAAAGCATCCTCCCTACCTCAGTTTTGTAAAAAAAGAAATAGATAATTTTCATCTCCCTGTTGTTCCCTCAAATCGTTCTCACTCCAGTGTAGTATGTGCTTCATTGTGCCGTAATTATTATTTGATTCTAATATTCGATTCATTGCCTTGCCTTCATTTCATAACCACGATTCTCAATTTGTATTGAGCGTGGTATTTGTGCAGTGTTAAATGACCGATTTGGAGGCCCTCCGCCTTTTCTTGAGCTGTTTACTCCTTTTGTTTTGAGCCTATTTTTCGCTGAATGATTCTCAATTTTATAGCACTATGCAAGAGAGTGAAAAAAGCACTCTTCTGCCAATAACCCAGTTTAAGTACTACAACTGAGAACTCTCTCTTTACAAAGGAGCTTCTAGCTACTCTAATACAAGTATCAGAAATTCAAATCCCTACAAACCATGGTCCATGAAACCGTACCGGAGACCATACCGGAAAAGTCAGCGATAGGGTATTTTATGACAAAATCGTGGTTTAACCGTAGTTCAACCGTTAGTACCGTTAAATACCGCCTATCGGTTTAGCCTCTGATACTGGCATTTTGTGGTTGAACCGTCGGTACGGTTTAATGGACCATGCTACAAACAGGCAAAAGAACAGCTACTCTTTGGAATCCTGTCCAGAATTATACACAACACAATCACTAGGCACCTACTTAACCCAACTGATTAGTATATCCCTTTGTAACAATCCTGTCTTAGATAATAAGCCAGATAAGCACCCTACAACATGGAATGCTTCGCTCTCTCCAAACCAGCGAACACCATTCAACTTGAGGTTGTTGAGTACGTATTGAAAGCAAGGATTAAAGAACTGTACCGTATCAACGGTCCGATCGGAAAAACCTCATGTCGGAGTCTAAACCGGTAGATGGTTTTTAGCAATGTAAAACGGTTGAACCATGGCGGAACCACGAATTCAACACAAAATACCATACGGCTTATTGAAAGTCACACTTTTCCCCCCTAAAAAACGGGACAATGAAAGCCCATCCCACAACACATTACCATTTTGCACACTCATATGCGGCTGTATGATTTATCTGTGTTTGAGCAGCCTACACTCGACCAGGGAGTGACCATAAGTCTGCTGCTCCCTTCAGTCTGTCTGTTTGCACTCATTGTGCCCTTTCATTCGATGAGTTTTTATATTTACTTATGAATTCCTTTATTGTGCTTGCCGCCACTGTGTTTTCTGCCATGCCTGAAACTTGCTTTAGTAGGCAAATGGGTGGTCGCACAAGAAATAAGCAATTAAATGCGGATTAACGCCACTTTTCTAACTAAACATAGATCCAACATCTAACCACATATCATCTTGAGATGTTCAAACACATATTTCTTCCTCTTTCCAACACGTTTCCCTATTCCCTTTCCATTTTACTAACTATTATTGACAATCATAAACTCATGAGCAGTTAGACATACCTAAAATTCGGGGAAATTTTCACCAAACCATGAATAGTAATTCTCTTATTTCAAACTCCAGACATGATTGATCATCAGAGTAAGTGTTATCTATTGTATCAAAAGTGATTTTTTCGTCTAATTTAACACATTGAGTAAATTTATACATTGTGTCCAATTAAATACCAATATATCAAATTCTTCTATCTAATTATACAATTGCATTGATGTAGAATGACAATTCTATCTTTGCAAACTTGCATTGATGTCGTACAATAAAATTAATATCAGTTGGATTGTATAAATTGGACGACAATAGGAATAACATATGCAATTGTATCAATGTGGATGCTCCAATGCAATTACAGGTTGCAAGTCACAACATTTTATTATTATTAAATTATTTATTATTGAAGTTTTGTGTATGTTTATAATGTATTAAAAGACTAATTACAATTGCAAATGTATTGCATTGATATTGTGCAATAAAATTAATATGAGCCATGAGAAAATAATAGCAAGAGCAGGTCGTTGTGGATACCAAGTACCAACTGAGCAGATTCCCAGTTGCGTACTTGAGAGTCCCTCTAATTGTTGTGAAACTAACTATTGCTGTCTGTAAGCCACTGATTGATCGTATAAAAACAAAAGTGTAGGGGTCAAAAGCTCAAACACTAATCTATATTGGTAGAATGGAGCTGGTGGGTACTGTGATCTACAGCCTTGCATAGTATTGGATAAGTGTTTTCATGTTGCCAAAGACAGTGAGCCGAGAGGTTGAAAAGCTTTGTACACAAGCAGCTGAAAACTCATGACCACTCATATGGTTTTTGTGTGTGTTTCAGCCTCTTTGGCAGGATCACTTCTTGGCAGCATGCCAATTGGGCTGAAGGAGTTCACTGGGCAAATCCAGCAATTTGGCAGAGTTGATCCTGATTGTACAGCTGGTAGACTCATCTGGCAGTCGATGATAAGCCATATTTGAGGAGAAAGTGCAGTCGAATGTATGGCAGTGGCCAAAGAGAGGTTTTGGATATTGTCAAAATTGTCAAAGATGAGGTTTTTTTTACATCAAACATCATTCATTTCATTCCAAACCCAAGCAAGTGGGAAGAGATATGATTACAATAATGGAGCCACAAGGTCGGCAATGACAATCCATTCTGGAGGAAGGAGATCAAGCTGAGTGTTCCTTGCGATCCAATCAGCCAACACATTGAATCGACGAGGAACAAACTCAACCGAAATCCAAGGAGAAACACAGAGAATGGAAACCACACAGGCAAGGGTTGCCCGGCAGTGCCAAGGCCAAAGGCTCGGATCCTGTCTCAACGCAATCGTCAGCCGTTGGCAGTCTGACCTGATACACGTTGGAACTGGATCCTGGGCCGCCAAGATAACTGCATTAAGAATTGCAACAGCTTCCATTTGAATTGGAGATGAACAAAAGAATCTCTCAACCCTACCGTCGAACACCTGACCGTGGGAATTAGCAAAAGCAATCCCATAAGCCGCCACCTGTGCATCAGACACAAATGAACCATCACAATGCACAACCTTACAGAAAGGACCAGGCGGTGATAAGGTAGAAGACCGAGAACCCCCAGACTGAGAAGGCAGTCTAGCTGACGTGGAAAGTGTGGGAGCTGAGGGCGAGATCCTAGCTTCCTGAACGTTTCGAGCAATCCAGATATTCCACAACGAACACACAATCTTTGAAATCTGTTCAACTGTCAATCGTTACGAAGACTGAAGAACCAGCCCGCAAAGGTTGAATCAGCCGCCGGTAGTACATTCAAGAAGCCAATTCGAGTCCAAGTCTCATAAGCCTTAGGAAAAAAGAACAAGCAATGTAGGATCGTCTCATCATGTTCCTCACATAGCGGGCACGAAGGATTAGGCGCACATTTATGTTCAAACAGCCTAGCTCGTGTTGCAATTGCATTTTTACCACACTTCCATATGAAAGACCTAAGGTTAGGAGGAAGTTTAAGGTCCCACAACCATTTCCAGTCAACCCTGATTGGAGCAGAAGAGGTGTCCACAGCAGTCAGAGATGAAGCATCACGACTCTCCCGAAACGTCCGGTAGGCAGACTTAACGTTGTATCTGTCTGAATCCGTACCTCTCCAAATCCAGCCATCATGAGCGGAGGCCGGGCCAATTGGCACCCTAGAAATGGCTTGAGCAATTTCATCTGGCACAATACCCCTTATTGCATCCATTTTCCAACTGCGAGTTTCTTGATCAATCCAATCGCTAACTTTTGATGGCTCCAAACCTAGATGAGACAGGCTGGAACATGGAAGTGAAGGCAGCCAGGGGTCGCAGTGGAACCGAGAGTCCTCCCCAGACATAATCCCTTTCAATAACCCACTCTTCATATGCTCCTTAGCCTCACAAAACCCATTCCAAATCCATGAACTCTTTCTCCCTTTTGTTGCCGAAAAGAAATCGCCATTGGGAAAGTACAGTCCTTTCAAGAGTTTAGCCCACAAGGAATCGGGGTTATCAAACATCCGCCAAACCTGTTTCCCAATAAGCGCAAGGTTGAAAAGGTGAAAATTCTTAAACCCCAATCCTCCTTCATCTTTAGATTTTCCAGCTCTTTCGCATTACACCAATGAATAACCCTCTTCTTCATGGAGCCCGACCAAAAGAAGCGCTTAAGGATCGAGTCCATTTTTTTCGTCAAGTTCAAAGGCAGTAAGAAAACACTCATGATGTAGGTGGGCAGAGCTTGTATAACTGCCTTCAACAGAACTTCTTTTCCTCCTGGTGATAACAAAAGGCTCTTCCAGGATTCACCTTTCTTCTCCATTCGTTCCAGAAGAAACCTGAATGTTTCTTTTTTGGATCTGCCTCATTCAGTAGGAACTCCCAAGTATTTGTCGTGACAAACCGCCGACGGAAAGGTACAGTTATGAAACTAGTTGGAATACCGCCTATATGATCAATTTATGGTCTTTAAACGAAATGAAACGGTTTAAGTGAATTTAATTAACAAAAAAAATTAATTCGTAATTTATTTCAAGAATTTGAAAGTTAAATGTTGATGCTATTCGTTGGACTCAAGTATAAATGTGTGGGCGTTGACATTAAATGTTGTATTTGAATATGCGTATATGTTATTTTGTTTGGAATGTTGGGTTTTAGTGAAATTTATATGCAGATTGCCAAATTATAAGTAGATTGACTTCAAATATACTTTTTATACGCTTAAATTCATTTGATGTTAATAATTTTTCACAAATTTACATGTTTTATTAAACTGACCTGAACAAGGACAAACTAATTATATTCCAAGCCATGTTCCATTACTCAAGACCTGGTTCCCTTCAAGAATTGGAATCGACTTATACAAAAAAAATTATATTCCAATCGAACCATACCGCTTGCTAAACCTGCCCAACCGGTTTGCCAACCTCCTGTCCCGGTTTTCAACTGCCGGACAAAACGGAAAGCTTAAAAAGTCCCAAATCTTCCCTACACAACAACATCTGAAACTCCCAGAATTCTCTCTTAAGGTTTACACTGCCGCCGCTAGCAAATATGAGCGCCGATGACGGTTTTGGCGTGCACTACGACACCGACGATGATTACCTGGACGCCGAAGTAGAAGATGATGATACCGCCGGCCTCTTGGCAGAAGAAGCTGACAGCCTTAGGCCGGCGGAACTTCCTTATCAGGTACTAAAGGAAGACGAAATCCGGCGGCGGATGGAGGACGAGATCGGCCAACTATCCGCCTTGCTCTGCCTCTCCAATTCCGAGGCCAGCATCCTCCTCCGCCACTCCAATTGGGACGCCTACAAGCTTCAGGACTCATGGTTCACCAACGAATCCGAGCTCCGCCACAGAGTTGGTCTCTCCGCCACGGATAACCCTACCGCCGCCGCGGCGGCCAATCAATCGGACTGCAGAATCTGCTTCGACTCCTTCTCTCCCGATTCGTTCAATTCCGCCGCTTGCGGCCACCAATTCTGCCGCGACTGTTGGAGGCAGTACTTCGCCACGAGCGTCAACGGCGGCCCCGGAACCCTAAATCTGAGGTGTCCCGAGCCGTCGTGCACGATCGCCGTTACGGAAGACCTAATCAACAAAATCGCCGACGAAATCGATCGAAAGAGATACCAAAAGTACCTCCTTCGATCGTACGTCGAAGAGAACAGGAAATTGAAGTGGTGCCCCGCGGCGGGCTGCGAACACGCCGTCCAATTCGCCGCCGCGGCGGGCGACCCCAACTACGACGTCTCCTGCCTCTGCTCCCACGCCTTCTGCTGGAACTGCTGCGAGGAGCCCCACCGCCCGGTCAATTGCATCACCGTGAAGAACTGGATCGCAAAAAACGATTTGGAATCGGCGAACGAGAATTGGAAGAAAGCGTACACGAAGCCCTGCCCCAATTGCTCGAAACCGATCGAGAAGAACGCCGGATGTATGCGAATGAAATGCGCGGCGCCTTGCAACTACCAGTTCTGCTGGCTCTGCCTCCAGAATTGGGACGTCCACGGCTACGGCGGCTGCAATCAGTACCAGCCGCCGGAGGATTCCACATTGCCCCAATTGAGAGCCGAATTGCAGAGATACCAGCACTACTACGACCGGTGGGCGGCCAACGAGAAATCGAGGCAAATCGCTGCCAAGGATTTGGCCGAAGTGAGGGGATTGGATGAGAGTGGCGACACTAAGTTGTTCATCGAAGCTTGGGAGCAGATTGTGGAGTGCAGGAGGGTTTTGAAGTGGACTTATGCTTATGGGTTCTATGTTGTTGGTGGGAGGAAGGAGTTCTTCGAGTATTTGCAGGGGCAGGCTTATACGTGTTTGGAGAGGCTCCATGGCTGTGCCGAGAAGGGGATGAAGCGTTTCGTAAGCGATGGGAGGATTCGAGACGACGATGGAGATGGTGAGTACGTTTCGTTTCGGATTAAGCTGCTGGAGCTGACTAAGTTGAGCAAGACTTACTTTGAGAATCTGGTGGCGGCGCTGGAGAATGGGTTGGCGGGTGATATTGACGGCGGAAGCCGCGGCGGTGCTTCTAGTGGTGACAGTGGTTTGGGGCGGCGCGTGGGGTTGAAGGATCGGCGACGAAGTGGGAGAGTGGTGGTTAATGAAGAAGAGTATCCCAAGCTGGAAAGGCTGGGGCTTCTGAAGGCCAGAAGAAGCCGACTTTCTTAGCTTGTTGGTATTTTTTTCTTTTCTAAATAAGAGAAATATAGTTTTTTTTATAATTAGATGTTATGTAAGGGATTGAAATCTAATCTAAGACTAGTGATTATTTTTTTGTTGGTTAATCAAATTTTAAAGACAATTAGATCTAAAAGGACACTATGCTATGGTACAATTTAGGGTTGCAAACGAGTCGAGTTTTAGTTTAGTTTGAGTTCGACCGTTAGTAAATTATTCAGCTCAAACTTGAATTTTGATAATCCAATTTGAGCTCATGCTCGGCTTGAACAAAAATAATTTAGCTCGAGCTCGACTCATTAGAGCTCGGTAAATGCTCATCAACACAACTTGTCATGCTGAGTACAAGCTTGGCTCAATATGAGCTCGATTTGAAATTATTCTTGTTGAAAAATGTGTAAACATAACAATTTAAATGATAAAATAAACACAAAAAACTAAAAAGAACAACTAATTTCCATACACATCCGTATTAACAAGATAATGTTAATGTTCATATGAGTAATTAATTATTCTACAAGCTCTAAATAAGCCAGCCTGCAAGCTTAACTCAACAAGTCACCGAGTCAAACTAGCTCACGAGCTAATCAAGCTAAGCATGGTCTAGCTCAAGCTTGGCTCGTTTACTAACGAGTCGGCTTGTTAAATAATGAGTTAAGTATCAAACAATTTTTTTTCCTATTCGAACATCGAATTGCTTGCGAACGGTTTGGCTCATTTGCAAACTAATGGTACTTAAATTAAACAACAAGGTACAATGCATGAATAGCCACTATTTACTTGTATTTATGAAAATTGACGGGAAGAACAGCTATGGCGTTTTCTTCAATGTTTTTGAATTATTTTTAGTATATGATAATTTTGATCAAACTCACTTTGTAAACTAACTTCATTCGAGTTGTGGAATCACGGCAAGTGACTATTGAGAGCCGGCCAGGGAATTGCGGAGAGTCAATATTATTTATCTCAATCAGAGGAACAATGGGCACAATAAAAAAAATCCCCAATTCTCTGTTCCTATCCCTCACCGCCTGTTTCCATGGACGGGAGAGGAAGGCAATTAACAGGAGAGGGCACTTTAGAGTTTAAGTAACTGAATGGCTAAACATCGTTCTAACTTTATTTTTTTCGCTCTAATTTAAAACATAAAATTCCTAAACTAACCTTATTTTTTGTTTAGCAGCAATCGCCAATCAGCCCCAAACTTCGCCCGGTTCCTCTCCAAACCCTACTCTGCTGATCATTTCATCTCCATCTCCACCATCAGTCCCTTTGTCCTCGATAATCTAACCCCAATCTAATATGCATCCTCTACTCAAGTCAACATTGAGCACCGGCCGAACCCATCTCTGCCAAATAATTCTCATTTGGCCTCCTCTCAATCCCGATAAGTCATGAACAATCAGTTTCCTGTTCATGTCATTGCTCTGCCTCTCTTACTTGAGGGTTTCATACGTTCATTTTTTATCACTTGTTGGCTAGAATGAACAAGAAGGATGCATGTTGATTGTGTATATTCTAAACTAGTTAGAAGATGGTTTGAAAGCTTCTTAATTTATAAAGCTTCTTGTTATAGGAAGGGGAGTTTATATAGAAGGGGAAATGTTGGTTTGTTTTGGGGAAAATTGGGGATTTTTCCTTAAACACCCTTACCCCTACTTATCCATGGTGCTCTTGAGCAGCAGGTCTTGAAGATAGGAAGGAAAAATGTGTGGCGGAAACCAGGAGAAGAGAAAGAGAGGTGGGGAGAAAGGGGAAGAGAGAGTTTCAGCTTTCAACCGAATTTTTGTTCGGTAATTTTTTTTAATAAAAAAGGAGAAAAGAGTCATTTTTATTTTAAAAATCAGGCGATATAATACTAGTAGGGCGACAATTAGCAATCCCCTTAAGTAAAGGGTTAAGATAAGGTGATTAAGGGGGGTCCTTAGTCATGTGACTAAGTGAATCTCAGTCATTTCCCTCATTAAAATCCAATGGCTCAAATTAATATCTTAGGACATGATAGTAAATACACAATTTATTTATTTAGCAATTAAATTAAACAAAAATAAAAGCGGGCCCACAACTAGCTATTGCCGCTCCCACCGAGCTTTTCTAGGAAATTCTTCCCTGCGGGCGACGGCCATCTCCCCAACTCATCCTAGCGCCGTTTTCCCCCATTCCCATTCCCAGCACGATAGAGGTCCATTTTATAGGGATTTTCCATTCCCATTCCCATTCCCATTGAGAGAGAGAGAGAGAGGGAGGGAGGGGGAGAGAGAGAGAGAGAGAGAGAGAGAGGAGACTTTTCCGGTGACCGTAGATGGCATTCGATGATTTTCTGATGACATTGTTGTTTTTGTGATGTTTGTCCACCTATTTTGTAATGTTTATAAGTCTGATTTTTAATATTTATATCAATTTCGTTTGTATTGTTTATTATTCTTGTTTATCATCTTTTTCTATTACATTTGTAATGTTTATATGACTATTTTGTATATATTGTAATTTGTAATGTTTGTTTTTCTAGTTTGTATACTTTTATGTTATGATTTGTATACTTTGTATTGATTGGTTTGTAATACAAGTTTACCGAATTGTATTGTAAGTAGTGATATTCTGTACGTGTAGAACTCAAAATTGGAGGTCTAGGGCCTAGGGGAATCCGCTAATTAGTTGTTATCATATGTTATATCATCATATTACACTAATTCTACAAATTAAAATTCAAAATCCGACACCTTAAGACGAGTTTTTGAGTTGGGTGCATTGAACGCACTCATTTTTGTGAGTGCATCGAAGTAGTCACCTATATATTTATATATATTATTTTCATTGCTTGTGAATTGTTAATTAAATTTGTACTTCTTGCTAATTTTGTTCACTATTAAAAATAAAAAATATATCATTTGAAAAAAAAAGTGTCAACCTATTATTAATATTTTGTTGATTTATCAACATAGCAACTAAAAACATAAACAAATAACACTTCATGGGTAAAATATTGTAACTAAACAATGTTGTAGCTTTATAGTCATATTTTCTTTTCTATATTTTTTACCGAATGTTGTAGCTTTTATATTTTGTTTATTACTTGGTTACTTTTCATCTCTTTTCTTTCTAAAATTTTTCAATTAGTGAAATATTTTTAATTCTTTCTGATTGTGTTTGAACTTTCGTTTATCCTTTTTTTGTATTTTGATATATTGATAATCGATTAGGTTCTATTTTAACTATTTTGTTTTGTTTTAACTATTTTAACTATTTCTAATGGTGCTTCTAATTGAATTAGTGGGTTTTGATACATATTCTAATATTTATTTTAAAATTTTATTATTATATTCTAGCATATTTATTATTCTTCTTGATATTCTTTTACTAATTTTATCTATTTTATTGAAAAATATTTGATCAGTCATTCTAGTAATAATATGTTTAAAAGGTTTTCTAACTATTATATTAGATAAAAACTTGTTGAAATATAGTTTGGATGTTTTTTTAAAATTTTGGGTATAAAAAAGTAATTAAAAGTTTTGGTTTGATGGAAAAGTAGACGGATGCACATTTGGCAACTTCAATGGTACTCGACGCCCTATTCAAACTTAAGTGGTATGTCTACACCAATTCTCAAACTTAAGTGGCACCCGATGTATTTTACCCAACACATCACACTACACATACACAAATCCTTCTAAAAGTAGGCCATCTGCTAATGCTAGACATGTATAAATTGAATTCGACCAAAAAATAAGGCGACCACACATTATTCGTAATGATTAAAGACACTAGGTAAAACTTGTGTAGGTATCTTATCTGAATAATTTTATGAATTATTTGATTTCAACTAATTTATTAATTTCTTATGGCGGCGGAGCACATACGAAAAAACTAGTAAATCGCTAGAATGAAAAATGTATTGTATCAACGGTTTGAAGGGAAAATCCGACTACTCGAGCCAAACTAATAGACGATTTTAGCGATATGAAACAGGTGAATCAAGATTAAATCTTGATTTCAGCACAAAATATTATATCTCTCACATTTCTCATATGATATTACTTTATCATTATTATAATTAGTTCAATAAATTTTTTTGGCAAAATACACTTCCATAGTCACAACTTTTACGTTTGTGACAGAAATAGCCACAACTTTCGAAATACACAATATAGCCAGAATTTTATAGTTAAATGACAAATATAGTCATTTTCGTTACAAACTTTAACGGTGTTAGAGATTCCGTTAGTTAGGTTAAGGGTACGCTGACTAAGATGCCAAATTGACGCACACATCAGCGACAACTCAGCCTCACTTGCCACGTAGATGTCACATCATCATTTACTTAAAAAGTATTTTAGACAAAATATACTTTTTTTGACAATTCAAAATACACTTTCATAGCCACAACTTTCACGTTTGTGACAATTATAGCCACAACTTTTGAAATACAAGAAATAGCTAGAATTTTGAAATACACGAAAGGAAAAATGCAATTCTATTGTCACAACTTTCACGTTTGTGACAATTATAGACCTCTTTCTCGTCACAAACGTGAAAGTTGTGGCTATAGCTGTCACAAACGTGAAAGTTGTGGCTATGGTAATGGAAGTGTATTTTGTTTTTTTGTTTTGGTTAATTCACGTGGATCGCCAACTCAACACTTCCGTCAGTCCAGTCATACTGTTAAGTGACACCGTTAAAAGGATGAACGGAAGTGGCTATTTTGTGTATTTCGAAAGTTTTGGCTATAATGTTACAAACGTGAAGGTTGTGGCTATGAAATTATATTTTGCCAAAATTTTTAAAAAGCACTTAAAATAGGGTTAATTACATGGTTGGTCACTGAGATTGCAAAAAGGCGTTCAAGTTTGGTCACTCGAAATATTTAAATCCATTGGTGGTATTTCAGTTTACTGAAACCGTTCACGTTTGGTCATTCTCCGTTCAACTTCGTTAACTTTTGCTTACGTAGCGGTCAACTTTAAAGTTGACCGTTAAGTGAGTGTTGCAATTTAAAAAATTAATAAAATAATAAAAATTAATCTTTTATAATTTCCACCTCATTTCTAACTATTTAAAAAAATAAAAAAAATATTAAATGTGTGACATGGGCAATTTAAAAATTAAAAAATTAAAAAAAATAATT